AAACACATTTTAATAGTGGATATGGAGGAAATCGTGTGTGTGTGTGTGTGTGTGTGTAGGGAGGGTAAGAATAGTGTGTTATCTTTTTATTAAAGAACTAGAGGCCTGGTGCATGAAATCATGCACGGGTATGGTCCCTAGGCCTAGCCTGCAATCAGGGCCATCTTCCCCAGCTGTCAGCAGCCAGCCACGTCCCCTGCTGCTACCCACCCCGGTTCCCCAATTGCCATCCAGCGATGGGAGCCTTACGGCTGGGTGAGGGACTGAGAAGTCAGCTGTTCCCACCCGCTTGCCGGCCCCAACCCTGCCGCCGGTCACCCTCTGTGTGTGGGGTGACTGGTGGGGCAGGGGCCTTGGCCTGGCACCGCCTGCATCCCCCCTACCCACCCTGGGTCCCCTTTTGCCATCGGTGATTGGAGCCTGCCAGCCGGGGAAAGGGACCGAGAGGAGGTCAGTGCACCTCATAGTGACTGGTCAAGCTGTCGTTCTGGTCGTTCTGCCTATATGGTCGCTGGGCTTTTATTATATAGGACTAGAGGCCCAATGCATGAAATTCATGCAAGGGTCTCAGCCCTCACAGCCCCGGCTTTGTCCAGAAGGTCCGGCTGTCTGGTCTAATTAGCATATTACACTTTTATTATTATAGATAGAAAACAGTCAATTTGAGGAACTGTATCACTATTCTGAACATGATTATTTTAATATAAAATGGTTCACTTAGCTATTAGACATATGACAGTGGTGGGCGAATCATACCAGATCCCAAAGAGAAAATAGATGCTAGTTGAGTCCTGAACCCTCTGATCAGAGGCTCAGGGTTTCCCAGGTACTTGAACTTTTCACCTTACAGGTACCTGCAGCCACTGACTGATTCCCTTTGGCTTCTGTTTGAGTAACACAGGCTTATTCCACTGTCAGTTTAAATGGGCATTGCTGTGAAATTGATATTCAGCGTGATCCGCTTCACAATTGCTCCTGTCATTCCTGTTTCCTGTACATTTGACCGTTTTAGGATTACTCTTCAAAACACATACTTAAGCATTATTGTCTTAGCTTAGTAGCAATAAAGCAATAAAGGCATGATTTTTATTGCGCAATCAGCACACTCCTGCATCCAAAGGCAATGTAACCCTGCATATTGGAGACAAGCAGAATCAACTGACAAATTTGGGCAGAGAAAACCTGCTTTCATAGCTGATGGCGTGACTGTGCAGTATTACTTTAGGAGGGGCATTTAACGCCGCAAGTTTGGTTTCAAATAATTTTGAGAGAGAAAGGACATGTTGTTCCCAAAGGATTTTTAAATCATCTGTGGATATTTTTAATAAAAACCTGATCAATTTCCTGAGATGGAAGATGCCAAGATTCCCCTCTGTTATCTGTGATGCTATTAATAACACAAAAGGAAAGCTGTTTTTATTAAGTTTAGAAAGCTTTCCAAGACATGTTTTATTTCCCAGTTGAACTAATATTTAGAGGTTCAAAAATGTGAAGCTTTGACAGTGTCAGACACATTTTTTATCCTTTTAAAAAATAAAGAGCTCAAGGCCTTTCCTGAAGAACTGATTTTAGCATTATTTTTAAAATTATATTTTACGTTTTTAAAAAAGTAGACCATCAGAATAGCTAACTTAAGAAACCAAAGGAAAAATAGTAAAACAAACTAGTGTTTTACTCCCTGGTGCCCTAATGTATCTTGTGTTCAGTCAGTGGGTGCCATTAACCTGGTACCCACCCATGTGACACTGAGGGGGCTCTAGGGGTACAGATATGTGGCAGGACTGCATCCTCATTGCCTGGGCACAGCAGGTGCTCAAACACAGTTTGTTGAATGAAAATACGAGCCCTTTCCTAGGGTGGGGAGCATCTGAATTTTATAGCACTTATTTAATTGTGTATGGGAATGGAATAAGTCTGGGGGAAATCTCCTCTTTTATGCCACATATACAGATTAAAATTTTTTTTGAGGTGAAATTCGCACAAAATTGAAATTTAAAAGTGAGCAGTTCAGTGACATTGAACACATTCACAATGTTATGGAGCCATCACCTCTGTCTAGTTCGGAAACATTTTCATCACCCCAAAAGGAGACCCTGAGGCCACAGGGGATGAATTTGGGTGAAGGTTAGTTTTGGCTAGGATAGGGCGTGAACTCAGATCTGGGCTTCTCTGATGATTTAGTAACTAAACATTATTGTTTAGGACAGTTCATCCTGAATGTATGTACCTCTTGGCTTCTCAGTGGGTGGAGTGCTGCTGTGCTAGGACTTGGAGCCTGGTTCTGATAGTAAGGTAGAGTTTCGTTTTGTGGACGTAAACTTGTCTGGGAACATGTATCCTGCTGGCAGCTAGTTTCACAGGCAAGCAAACTCCACAGACCCTGTTGGCTTGTGTAAAAGACATGACATGTCTTAGAGATAGTTTTAAAAGCAATCTTTGGCCTTGGCCGGGTAGCTCAGTTGCTTAGAGCATTGTCCCGATACGCCAAGGTTGAGGGTTCAATCCCCGGTCAGGACACATACAAGAATCAACCAATGGCCTAACCCAGTGGTCGACAAACTGCAGCTCGTGAGCCACACGCGGCTCTTTGGCCAACAAACTGCAGCTCGTGAGCCACACGCGGCTCTTCCACAAAATACCACGTGCGGGCACGCACGTACAGTGCGATTGAAACTTTGTGGCCCATGCGCAGAAGTCGGTATTTGGTGGAAGAGCCACACTCAAGGGGCCAAAGAGCCGCATGTGGCTCGCGAGCCCCAGTTTGCCGACCACTGGTAACCGGTTTGGCTCAGTGGATAAAGCATCGGCCTGCGGGCTGAGGGGGCCCAGGTTCGATTCCGGTCAGGGGCATGTACCTTGGTTGCGGGCACATGCGCAGTGGGAGGTGTGCAGGAGGCAGCTGATCGATGTTTCTCTCTCATTGATGTTTCTAACTCTCTCTCCCTCTTCCTTCCTCTCTGTAAAAAAAATCAATAAAATATATTAAAAAAAAAAAAGAACCAACCAATGAATGCATGAATAAGTGGAATAACAGGTTGATGTTTCTCTCTTTCTCCCTCCCATTCTCTCGCTCTCTCTAAAATCGATCAATAAAAAAAGCAACTCTTTATTTGAAATGATATAAGAAAATTTGCCCTGTAAGAATGATGTACCAGTTAATCGAGATCTTTGGCATACGTTAAAACTAGCTTCAGACTGGGGTTGTAATCGGTGTGACCTTGAATGAGAAATTAAATTTTTCTTTGGTCCTGTCTTCAATCACAAAAATAAGTGGATTAAATCTCTCTGGACTGCTTCAGTCTAAGCTATATTGGAAGTTTAGTCTTTCTTATTTCTTGCTGTTGTAAAAATTAATTGTCCTCATTATAGAAAATTACCAACATATATAAAGGGAACAAGAAGGTAAAAATGGTCCCACTGATTAAAGACAACCACTGTTAATATTTTGGTGTACACTTTTTTATTACTCGTTTAAAAAAGCAGTATTCAAATAACATATGAATATGTACTGATTATGAAAGATCCAAATGCTAAAAAGGATGGTTGGGAGTGAGAAATGAAAGGTGCCCATCTTTTCTCCTTGCCCCTGGGTAAGCCTTCATACTGGTTAGTGACTGGATCCTTTACCAAACATTTAGACACAGGGAGGTTATTACATTTTTATCTTATTTTATTTTATTTTATTTTACTAGCACAACTGGGATGATTCTAGGCTTACTGTTTTGTGACTTTTTTTAACCGTATTTCTTGGAGTTCTTGTCAGTACATCAATTTCCTTTTAATGGCTGAATATTATTCTCAAAATGCATATAGCACAATTTAAGAATGTCTTTTTGATGAACATGTAGGTTGTTTCCAAGTACTCAGTATTTTGAGTAATGCTGCAGTTTTCAACCTTGAACATACACTTGCATGGCTCTGTTTGAAGGATAGGTTTCTATGAGTAGACTTGCTGGTCCCAGAACATGCCTGTTCTAAATCCCAGTGCTAAGTTCCCCTTCACAAAGGGAACCAAGGTACCCCATTCCACCAAGAGCATAGTCTCTGTAATACCTTAAAGTAGCTTTTCTCCCACACCCTGCTCAACACCAGATTCCCCTCTAAGAGTTTCCCCCTAATTTATGCTACAAAACTAAATTTAATTTTAATGTTCATTTCTATAATTTTAAGTGAGGTTCAACAGCTCTCTGTGTTGTGTTTTTTTTTGGGGGGGGGGCAACTTAATTTTTTTCTGTGAATTTGCATGCTCCTACCCTGTGCCATTTCCTTTGGATTGTGTGTATGATGGATTTGCAGGTGTTCTTTGTGAAATTCTGATGCTGATCCTGTTAGGTGTCGCACCGTATTTTCTCTTATGCCATCACTCATCTTTCACTTCCCTTTACGGTAGTTCATAATACCAGAATTTAAACATTTTTATACTTTTCTTCTCTGTGTTTTTAAAATGTAGTTGTTTGATTCATACGAACAATTATTTTCAGTATTATTTTCAAGACAGGCAGCCAGGACCTAAGGCTACAGGACCAAGACAGGCGCCTGTGTCACAGGGCATGCATGCAAGGGGGTTGTTACTAAGTTAGGAGAGCACAGTGTGAGAGTGCTGTTAGGCCACTTCCTGCCATACGGATGGCACTTGGAAGTCATTATCTTTACTCGGGAAGGCAGCTCATTATGTCTCTCCCTGGCTCAGAAACAGCAGTTCTTCTGCTTTCTTTGGATGTTCTATTTTGAGTCTCCCTCAGCTGACCCTCTTGTTCACGCAGCCTCCCTCTGTGGGACACGTGGTATGTTTCTCCTCTATCAAAACACACATGGTTACTAATGCAGCACACACTTGTTGCGAGTTTCATTTAAGAACACTGCAGATTTGGCTAAATTGATAGGTAAAAAATGCACAGTTTTTGTCTCATGAGAATTACAAACAACTTTGGGGGGAAATGTTTCCGTACTGCAGAGAGAAATACTGTGAAACAGCCTTTAAATGCAGTGTCTCTCTTCAGGTGGTGATAAATGGAGGTGCCACGTCCACTGGTGAACAGGACAATGAAGACACAGAGCTCATGGCGATCTACACAACGGAAAATGGCATTGCAGAAAAGGTACCCACTTCCATCGCCACCCCCGCTCCCCGCCGCTGCTGTCTCAGGTTCTGTCCAGGACGTGTTCTTCCTCTGGGTTTTGTCTCTACCCTGCGGAGTGGGTGTGGGTGTTCTCTGTATAATGGAAATAGAAGTGATGAGGAGTGGAAGTTACTAATTTTTTAAAATCCTCACCTGAGGATATGTTTATTGATTTTATTTTTTTAGAGAGAAGTTGAGAGACCGAGAGAGACAGAGAAACATTGATTGCTCTCGTACGTGCCCCAGGAATCAAAAGAAGTTACTAATTTTTAATTGTCTTAATGGCAATTAAGTTAAGTCTCATATAGAGCCCCTTATTTATATATTTTTAAAAGCCTCAGTCAGCATGCCAGAGGGAAGGGGTTAAGAATTTGGGTCTGGGTGCTAATGTGACTCAGACCCTGATAATTACTTAAACTCTCTGGGCATCAGTTGCTTCATCTCTAAAATGGAAGTAAACAAATTTGTCTTAGGGTTGTTGTGAGGGTTAAATGAAATAATATATGTAAAGTTATTGGCATCGTGTCTGGTATATACTACGTGTGCATTGACTAAGAGAATGAGAGAATCCAGTAGCTAGTTTATTGTAGACTATGAAAACGCCTTTAATGAAGGAAGCCTTGACCAAAGCAATAGAAATCACACTAAAAGTGGGAGAATCTCCTTTTGCTTCATCCTGTCTCCTTAACGGTCAGTCTGTGTGACCATTTTCCTAGATGCCAGGAGAGCTGCCCAAAGAGGGGCCAGATATCTGGATTTTTTTTCTTTGTATCTAACACATGTGAAAAGTTTGATAATATGGCATTTTCAGATTGCATTGCAGCCCTAAGACTTCTCACTTTCATTTGATAGACTTATTTATTGACTTTATTTTAGAGAAACAGGAAGGCGGGGGGAAGAGAGAGAAAGAGAAAAACAGTGATTTGTTGTTCCACTTCTTTATACATTCATTGATTGATTCTTGTATGTGCCCTGACTGGGGATCAAACCCGCAGCCTTGGGGTATCAGGACGATGTTCTAAATAAATTTTAAAAATAGATTTTAACTTTATGGTGACAATTACTAATTTGATCCACTTATATAATGAGGCATTAATTCCAGAATCACTGCTTTGTATTATAGACAGTAGATTCTGTATATTCTACTCACAAAGACCACTAGAAAGTTGACACATGCAAATATAGTACCCAACTTGGTTGAGTGCAACAATTTTGCAGTATAGTCACTACAGTGATAACAAATATTATATTGGAATTTTGGAATAATCAAATTTTTATGTATGTGTGGTTTCTTTTTAAAATTTCTAGTCTGTGAGATAGACATTTCATTTTTGGGTATCTTGATCAGTATTGCTATTATTTGGTCAAGCTATTATAAATTAGACTAGAGTCATGCTGAATGTTGAAATTCCTGTGGTGTTGGATTCCACACTGCTCCTCAGAGTGCAGAGATGAGAGCAGCTACGGTCAGCGTGTAGACTGATGCCTGCAGTCTAGGCTTGCTTGGATCTCAGCATCTTGTAGCAGAGTGCTTCCGAATTTATAGACTTGTTGGGTTGCATCCAGTGCTAAGGTCCTGGGTCCTTAATCACAGAGTTAGATGTTTCTAACTCTCTATCCCTCTCCCTTCCTCTCTGTAAAAAAATCAATAAAATATATTAAAAAAAAAAAAAGAAGCATTGATGAGAGAGAAACATCGATCAGCTGCCTCCTGCACGCCCCCCCCACTGGGGATGTGCCCACAGCCAAGGTACATGTCCTTGCCCGGAATCGAACCGGGGACCCTTCAGTCCACAGGCTGACACTCTATCCACTGAGCCAAACCAGTCAGGGCTCATTGTTGTTTTGATTTGCATCTCTCGGACGATTAGTGACTTTGAGCATGTTTTCATATGTCTCTTGGCCTTCTGTATGTCCTCTTTTGAAAAGTGTCTATTTAGGTCCTTTGCCCATATTTTGATTGGATTGTTTATCTTCCTTTTGTTAAGTTGTATGAGTTCTCTGTAAATTTTGGAGATTAAACCCTTCTCTGAAATAGCATTGGCAAATGTGTTCTCCCATGCAGTGGGCTTTCTTGTTGTTTTGTTGATGGTTTCTTTTGCTGTGCAGAAGCTTTTATTTTGATGTAGTCCTGTTTGTTTATTTTCTCCTTAGTCTCCATTGCCTTAGGAGCTGTATCAGTAAAGATATTGCTACGACATATGTCTGCTATTTTGCTGCCTATGGAGTCTTGGAAGATTTTTATGGTTTCCCGTGCTGCTCCCATTTTCTGATACTGAATGTGGCAGTGAAGAAATGTGACCAGTCTTTTTCTTCTTATCAGTATCTTGATCTTTTGCCTGTCTTATGGATTCTTTATCTTTGATATTCAGTAACTTTACTTAGACATGTGTTGCTGTTTTTTTTTGTTTTTTTTTGGAGGTGGTGGTGATGGTAAAGAATTATGAATTTATTAGGTCATCTGGAAACCCAGATGAGCTGAGGCCCAAAATGGCGCCAGTAGCCAGGGACGGGGAGTCAGATTTTAAAGGACTTTAGGCGGGCCTTTTCTGGGCGGAAAATTCTCTGGGCGGGTCCTGAGAGGAAAGATAATGGTGTTAGCAAGTGGAATGTAGTCTTAGGGAAAGGGAATGTCTATTGTGAAATGATTTGAAGGTCAGTTCCCAGGGAAGGGGATATCCATGCGATATTTGATCAGACCTAACATTCCAGCCTTTTGTTTTATGGAATAGGGGGAAGGGCATATCTTCCGTAGTTACTTCCTGCTGAGGGGGATGAACTTTGATTGTAGTTGGCTGGAACACTATAGATTTCTCATGGTTGGAGCGAGGGGTTGCAGCAGCATGATTTCCCCAAGAGACTGGTTAGTGAAGGCTCAAAAGCCATCCTGTTGAGTGGCTTGGTAGGTAAAAGCTGGTCCTGAGGCTACCAGTGTCACTTGTCTGGTTTTGCTGCTTTTCTGGACCTGGATCTGAAATACAACTGAAGTCTAGATGTTATCTTTAGGGAGGAAAAGATCTGGGGTCTAAGCTGCCTGACTAGTGATATGAAAGATCAGGGGTCCAACCACATGACCAGTTAGTTACCTTGGGGGCGAGGTTCTTGTTTTCCCAGTTTGCCCCTTGCTCTAGGCATCCAGAATTCTCTGACCTAGCCCATCGTCTTTGCTCTGGGAGTCAAGGGGACGATGAGGTCTGGGCACAAAAGGAGGTTGTGATGGTGTCTAGGGGTGGTATTTCCTGAGTACAAGTTGGGCTTGTAACCTGGTGGAGACCAACTTTTATACATTTTAGTATTACGGGGGCAAAAGCTGGAACAATAAGAATTTTGACAAATGGTCTGATGGGAGAAAAGAGACATTAGTTTGGAGGGTTGTAGTCTGATATACCCAAATGAGGTTTATTCTCTTGGCTTCATTTGTCCTTGGTTTAGGAAGATAGAATTTAATAGATGGCTGCCGACTGCTTGGCATCTGGATTTTCTAGATGGCTGGAAACTGCTGTTTTAACTATTGTCAGTTTCCCTAGCAAATTGCTGTTTAATTATCTCAGCTTCCCTATTCTACTTGTCTTGGCTTACTGCTTACAAATTTAACTCATTTCCTTTTTCTCTCAAAATGCCTGTCCATGCCTCTGCCTTTTATTACCAAAACCATACACTTTCTTTTCAATTTATTTCGAATTCTTAACTCTTAGAAACCTTAATTTTCCAATGATAACCAAAAAGTAGACAGCCAGCATTTCTTAGATTGACATTTATGAATACTCTCACTTTCAAGAAACACAACTTCAATAAGGCATCACATTAACAGTTCCAAATCTACCTTATAGGTTTTCTGTAACAAAAGCTATAATCAGGTGAACTTAAAATGTGTTGAAATATTTAGATGTTTATCATTTAACCCAGCAATGCGCCAAAGCTTTTAAGAAGACTTTGGAAAATTATGTATAGGCCCTGTGAAGCTGGAGGGAGGTGCGGGGAGCAGGCCCCGCAGCCTGTTCTAGGACGGTAGTTTCCAGGCCTCCGGCCACTTGTATTAAAAGTAGCACTTTTTTCCTTAGAGATAACATGCTAAGATTTGGGTAATAATGAGTTCAGTCTCTGATAATAGCCACTGTTAAGTAAGAATTTGCAGTTTTGCAGTAAAGAAAGTAGTTCTTTGGGAAGGGCAGGGGGGTGAGAAGGTGCTGAGGTGAGAGCAGCGTTCAGAGCATTAAAGGGAGTGAGAATGCTGGCCTTGGGATCTAAAGGCTCAGTGAGGGGGTCCCTTCACTGCGTCATGGAGGAGCTTTGCGAGACGGCTGAAGTTGGGAACCCAGAGGCGAAAGTACACAGCGAGCCTGAGAAAGGAGAGTATTTCTTGTCTAGAGGAGGGGACAGTTATGGAGGAGATAAGGTGTTTACGGTCCAAGGTAATGGCTCGACTTTGCGGGGTGAGAGTGAAACCAAGGTAGGTGACTGTGGTTTGGGACAACTGGGCTTTATGAGGGGATACGTGGTAGCCCGGGTTGGGCACCGAGGTAGAACGAGGAAAGAGTGGATAGAGGGGGTATTTTAGTAAGATGCAGTGTAGAGGTGAGGTGCGGCTAGTGGCTGTGAGACTAATCCGTCAACCCCCATAGTAGAGACTGAGGAGGGGACAGTGAATTCAGGGAGGGCAGAATGAGTGGCCCCCGTGTCAATTATAAAGGAGATCAGCTTACCTGCTCCACAGTCGTCACCGAGGCTCTGTTCTAGTGATATAAGTGTGTGGGGCTTTGTCAGGGCCGGGGCAACTTCAGTTTTTGGTGGCCAGTCCCAGGAGGTGTGGAAGCTCCAGACCGGATCCAGAGGGCGGCCTTGCTGGACTGGCTGAAATTTGACTTGAAGGGGCCAGACTACAGTCTGATTTCCAGTGGCCTTCCCTTCCGCACCTTGGGCAGGGTCCAGGCGGGGTTCTCGAGTTTGGGCAGGACTTGGCCAAGTGTCCTTCCTTCCTT